AACACATCCCAATATACCCGGACAGCCAGGCTGGGCAAGACCTGGGTCTTGGGAGCACCCAAAATGGTTTTGGAGAGGAGCTCTGGGCCAGCCTCGGCTGAGAGGAGAGGTAAAGGGGTCAGTGTATCAGTGGGAGCTTGTTTCTGTCTGCTGCCATTCAGGAACAGCAAAGCCAGTGTGCAGACAGCGTGGTGCCAAACTGATGCTGAGGACAGAGCCCTGCTGCTGGAACACAGCCATCTCCTCCATCGCTCAGTGCTACCATCACTTTCCAGGCAAACTCAGCCCCCCAGACTGCAGGCAACTGCAATCAGTAGCACAGGGGACAAATCTTCCCTCTGATTTGGAGATAAAACACCATCAGTTCTTAGCTTATCACATTGCTTCATTAGATTATGATCTACTTCATCTTGGGAACATGCTGAGTTTCTTGCCATAGTGGCAAGTAACCTTTGGGTGTAAATACACTGGAGCAGGGACTGGCTGGGATGCATGTACAGCCCTACACCAGCTGCAGGGAGCTGCATTAACAGCCCCATCTCTGCTCTGAATGTCCTGGGTTTTACAACACATCCAACAGTAGTGGTCAATGCCCTGGGCTACCAGCAAGTTGCACTTTAATAAGTAAGAATTTACATGACCAAAAATTACATCTCCACTTTTCCTGTCCACTGCTTTAGCATTCACATGAGGATTGTTACCAGCACCGCAAACACTCTTCTTGACACATGTGTAGACAGATAAACCCTCAGCAGAAAACCTGTGTGTGTGCACTGGTATGGCAGACAAGGGTTGATTAAGATGTAAAAGGCAGTTTTGGAAAGGCACTATTACAAGAGGTTTGTGAAGAAAAAGAGGCAACCACTCACTTCATTAATGTGGCGATGTAACATGAACAGACTTTTGTAGGGTATGCCAGATGCCAGAACTACAGAATGTCATTTTCTATAGTGCTCAGCACCTTTCCTTGAGACTGAAGCACTAAAATCCTCCACAGACCTTGGAGGTCTCCAGAAGGTCCATCTGTGAACAGCCAGGGTTTGAATACGAAGTCATAGGGCCATCTGGAAGGGAGGGTCATTTCTAAGCCCTCCTTTCAGTGCAACCTGTCAGCTCCTTTCAGGATCAGTTAAACACTCGGCTTCCCCAGATCTGAGCTGAGAATTACCATGTACTGAACACTCACATTTTGTCCACAGCCTTTCCAGTTCCCCTTGTTATTCCTGGTCCCCATCTCTGCCTGTCTGTATCAGAACAGTGACCCTCTGTTCATCTGGTCACGACAGAGCAGTGGGACATGCATCCTGTAGGCACAACACAGCTTTCCTCTGCCAAGTAAGACAAGAACCCATACAACACTGCTCTAAAGCCTGTGGTTAGAGTTGTGCTCAGAGATTTCAGAGACAGAGGGCTACACCGCTAACACATACCGTACCACACCCTTCAACAACTGAACCCAACTGCCAGCCACTCTGGGGTCATGTAATCAGAACCAGACCTCCTCGCATGTCCAATGTCAGCTTCAAAGAGTACTGTGATCAGCTGTTTTTCTCATTTACAAATTTCCCTCGCTCCTCAACTAAATTCAGCCCTTAGCCTGGTCCCCAGCATGTCCTTCCTTAAACAGAGTGGCTTACCTTGGCAGTAACACGCTCTCAGGAGTCACGGATCAACGTGTCCCAGGTGAGGGTCTGTTTGGTACCTGTAAAAGAGAGACACCTTGTTCACGCTAGTGGACAGTGGGGATATTTAACACTATACCTCATCACTATGCCTTGAGCCAGGGTGCAAACACTCCAGAGAAGGCAGAGCGATGGTGGGACCAGAATCCCAGCCTCCACAAATGAGCAGATGTGCTCAGCCAGACCGGAGGATACTTGCATGCCTCCTGCTGCAAGGCAGCCTGCTGCTCCCAGCAGACACAGACCTTGTCCAGCCCTGCAGATGTACCCCACAGGATGTAATTGGATCTGCCAGTGGTTTTTGACCTGTGGTCTGCAGACCACAAAGGGCTATGGACTGCTCCTAGGATGTCAGGAGGGCGTAATAAAGAAAAGCAAGCAAGCCAGGCAGAAGCTAACTAACAGAGATGGAAGATCCCAGCATTTTAGAAGACTGCACAGAGAACAACTGCAAACCACAGGTGTACACTCACGTACATCTGCTTGGTGCAGAAACACTCGCATAGCTTCATTGCACATCATCTTACCAGTCACAGAAATACCCACCTGCAAAAGACAGACTGGTTTTCCTGCTGGTCTAAGTGGGCAGCACTCAGCTGAAGCCAGGGGAGACATTAGACTTACACCAGCAAAAAGTCTGGTACAATCTGATTTCCCTGTGCTGAGACAATGGCCAAGTGTCATTTTTAAGATAACAGCACTAAGCCAACTGAACTGGCAAGACTTATAATATTCTGTCTGCAGCCACTCTTTAGGTGGTACAAAATTTTCCAAGAAATGAGAGAAGGAGAGAGAAATAAGATGAACCAGAAAATGCCCCTGGACTAAGAATTCATGGACTATCAACCTGAAATGAATATTTACAGCTATATCATTTATAAAGCCCTCACAGGCAGGATTTGTAACGGGAATGCAGATTCATCTTAATGGTATAGCTCCAATTGGGGGAGTTTAATTACTGCTTTGACATCCACTGCTGCACACCCAGCCATGCCATCCTCTCGGCAGCTTTCTTCATCTGTGCCTATTACACTTGGCGTAGGAGGCTCCATTTCCCTGAAGCCTTACGGTTAAGGGAGACGTTGGCATGATGCCTTGGTACGCTCCTGGCCCACACCCAGCTGTGTCTGTGGCTGTCTGTCCTTCAGAACTGATCCTCTGCTTGGGTTCCTTAGTTGCTTATGGGTATCATCCGTGTACACACAGTGTTAGGGCTATAAAGGATTTTATTTATTCTCCCTTTCTCTACCAGATCTGTAGCCAGAGTCTCTTTCGCACTGTGCTCTCTGCTTGATCCAAGCATATCCAGAGCAGGAGAGGGTGGATACAGCACTAGCTTTGATTGCTGCTTAGAGTTAAGATCCCACACCTCTGCCAGCTATGGCTCCATCCCTGCGGGTGATGGATGTGTGTACACCCAGCTTTTTTTTTTTCTTTTAGCTCTCAGTGCATGTTTCACTGGGTGGTGCCTGAAGCACACATTCAGTGGAGCAGCGTGAACATATGGGGCACCCATTTGCTTATTCATTTCTCCTGGCAGCAGCATACAGAATGGGCATAGGACTTGTTTCCTCCCTCAGCTGAGCCCTCCTTGTCAACTGAATCAAACCCAGCACCATTCCTATTAGGGAACTTTTTTGGTTGTGTTTTGTGATCTCTTTACCCCATATGCTTTCTTTTTTTCCCCTCACAGCTCTGTGATTATCATAACTGTGTTATATATTAGATCTTAGGTTTCCTCTTAGCAAGAAACAGCTCAGTTCTTTGCAGTATCGCCCATCTGGCCCCTTGGGGAGGCTTTTTGTCCCAAGGCTGCTGAGGTTTCTTCCAGCATGTCCAAAGGTGCCTCATACCCTGGTCCATACAGGTAAGTTGCAGGGACCACAGATGTTCCCCTAGCTCACACTGTGGAAGTGGGAAGAGGGCTCCCCATGACTGTTGTGTAGAGCTACCTATAAATGTACCATTACACCCAAAAGACAATATTGCCAGTGCTTAGCGCTTCTGAGAAAGTCAAGCACAGCTAAGCTCATACTGATGGGCAGGACTTTTGCTCAGCCAGCCACCACCATGGTGTATGGTGGTATCTAAATACCTGAGAAAGGTTTGATTCTTCCAGAAAAGCTGAGATTGCAGAAGCAGGTTTAGAGCCAGCTTTCCTGATAAGCTTCTCCAGCAGATTCACACACAGAGGCTGACAAAACTGAATTTCTCTGGAGCTAATTCTGTCTGGGCTCCAGCCAGCCTGGAAAGGATACCACTCTCACCTTCCAGTGGTAGGTGGAAACAAGGTGTTCAGTCCCTAGGCTGGCAAGCTCAACTTAACACTGCATCTCATTCAGCATTCTTGCTGTCCACATCCCCCGTCGCAGTAATGCTGGGTCAGACACAGCTGCTTCGCCTTTGTTGGACAGTTTCTTGTATTAAGCAACCAGCTGGCTTTACTGGATTTACCTTCATGTTTTCAAAACACATCATGGTTATAGCTCCAGGAAGCCCATGTATCTGGTTCTCTGTTTTTCTTGTAGGACCTGGGACTGGAAGGAACATTCCTCAATGAAGTGCTCTACAAAAATGCCACTTTCCTCAACTTGGTGGATCCCATCTCCCATGACTTGTTGATGAGCCTCGCAAGAGATCTGCAGTGTCCCAAAAAGGTGAACCCTTCCCTCAGCTCAATGAATACTTTGCGATATAGCACTGATGCCAAGAGCCCTAATGGGGTGCTGGGGCTGGGTGGTGCTCTGCAGTCCTTCAGAACCAGCCAGTGTACGCCCTTGGAGTGGCAGCATACAGATTGCTGTGCATATTTCTGTAGAAATCAGTTAGAACTACCCGAGAACATGAATGCAGCTGAAGGAGGGGACGGTTATGGACACAGACATCAGGAATTTACTTTTTATGCAAATACTAAACTTGATGCCAGGGTACAGGCCAGATAAAAATATATGGGGCAGAGGGTGGAGCCATATTTGCTGGTATATCCCAAAAGTTCAAAGCAGATAGCTTACGGGGCTGCAGAGAGGAACAGAGGTCTCTGCACCTCTGCCCAGGCTGGTGACTCCGCTGGAGAAGGAGAAGCAGCTCGCTCTTCCCAGGCCCTTTGCCGCATGTAACTACCCTAACCCAGCATTAACCTCACGGATTTCCGAGTAAAGAATGGTGCTGTAGGAATATATTGCAGCATAGGGTTCAAGAAGCAAATATGTTACATGCACAGTATCCCTGCACTGCTCCGGCATTTTCCTTCAGAGAATGAGGAGAGCAGAGACAAAGAACGGCAAGGTTGAATGGAGACAGACATCACAGATACCACAGTCCCACTACAACACCAGCATCTACTTCGGTTACCCTTTGCCACCACAAACGCTTGGATTTGCAATACATCCATTTGCTCATCAGGCTGGGCAAGTATCATGTTTGCTTTATAAGGAGAGCAATAGAGTGAATTTTCTTATTCAAAGAGAGATATTAAGTACATACAGCTCAGAGCAAACAGCAGCGCCGTAGGGAATACACTGAATGCCTGGTGTAGATTAGCGGCATTTCTAACCTTGTTCTGCTGTCTCCTGAGGCTCTCTGATAACAAATAACCAGTCAGGTCTCAATAGACAAACTACATTTAGCCAAAGTTTAATCATCATCATTGGGCTGCAATGCAGCCAGAAAGATCTTCAAGTGTAATTTTTTGTGCAAATTTTATAAGCATCTACAAAGGAGAGGGAGGGGTTGCAACAGTAGGACCTCATCCCCAGCTGTTCCACCATCTCCAGCCTCATGCTGTGCAGGGCCCTTCAGGGGAGGCAGCACGAGGGGACATCACCCTACTCCAGTAGCCAGGTGCCTAGCAGATAACACACTCCAGGTTTTATATACTTGCATATACCCCCCTCTATTTTAGATTGTCTTACAGATGCACATGTTTATCTGTACTGACACATGTACCATTATATAGACAAGATTTTCCCCATTCTGAAGGAAGATGTTGAGCACCTGAGCTGCCCCCAAAGCCAACAGGAGTTTAATTAAGGGGTTGGAGAGACTCAGTACCGTACAGCACCAGCACTCTTCGCAGCATGAACATCAGCAGACCACACTCCCTCTCTGACCCTGCCTGGGCATCTGGTGGGTGTAACTGCATTACAGGCAAGCAGGCTGAGTGCAGTTCCCAGTCGGTGGAAATTAGATCAGTTAGGACACAGGAAGGAGCAGGAGGGTTACTCTCAGTTGTGAGCCAACAAATGGTTGCAGAGTGTTGTGCCAGCTTCTGTGCTGAAGCCTGGTGTGCACATGCACCCACTTGGAAAGGTTTGCTGTTGCAGGGGACAGCAGGGTGCCAGTTGCAGCCTTGCCAGCACAGTAGGAGTCTAGAACAAGGCACCTAACCCAAGGGCATGGGCTAATCCCTGTGGGGTTCCTAGGGTAGCTGGGATGGGATCAGGGGGTGCTCAGCTGAGCACTGAGGCTGGGATCCCCCTCCCCTTGGCACAGCAGAACGGCCACGTGCTGGCAGCACACCCCTGGGGAGTTCAGCTGGTTCAGTGACTGCTGAGGAACGTCACAGTGCAGCTGTTAGCCCACAGTACAGCGCTTTATGGAATAAAGAATAAATTAGTGTATTCCCTGACAGCTTTACTGTGTGTTTATCTATCAAATCCCAAAATGCACATGTTGCACCATGGCTGGAGGGCCAATGAATGGGAATGCAGGTGTCTGTCAGCATTTGGAAAATATCACAGAGGGGGCAGAAATCTCAGGCTTCAGCAGCTGCTATTTGCCATTCTGCTTCGCCAGAGGAAGAGAGGTGCTGTTCAAAGTCATGACCTTGAATACTGTGTTCAGTTTTGGGCCCCTCACCACAGGAAGGACATTGAGGTGCTGGAGCAAGTCCAAAGAAGGGCAACGAAGCTGGTGAAGGGTCTGGAGCACAGGTCT